ATCCCAGGACCCTGGGATCACGACCTGAGCCGAAGGCAGATGCTTAACGACTGAGCCACCCAGGCGCCCCAAGATTTATCTATTTATTTTAGAGAGAGAGAGTGAGAGAGCGTGCATGTGCAGGGGGAGGGACAAATGAAGAGGGAAAGAAGCAGAAGCCCTGCTGAGCATGCGTGGCCCCACCTGGGCTTGATCTCATGACCCCGAGATCTTGACCTGAGCCAAAATCGAGAGTCAGACGCTTAACCAGCTGAGCCACTCAGGCACCCCTCTGTCTCTACCCTTGATCTTGGGCAAGACCCTCTGCTTCTCCAAGCCTCATGTCCTTGTCTGTGAAATGGGGATAACACCTCACTCCTAGGGTTGTTGGAAAATTAAATTAAATCCTAGTGTAAAGCCTGGGGCCTGGTTCACATAAACATTCTATAAATAGTCATGCTTTTCCTAGCCCTAATTTTGCCTCCGAGAAGCAGATTATTTGATAATGTAGCAATAGAGAAGTGGGGTCAAGAGTCCACATGTTAATCACTGTGTACCTCTGTGCTCTACTCCGGTCCAGGTCCAGCATCCCCTCTTGCCAGGGAATGGGTGACAAGGAACCCTCACTCTGTTAACCTCCCCTACCCTCCCCCACCTTGACAGGTGCACACAGGAGAATGAGCCAGTGCTTTTCCTTTATTAGTAGGTCAGAGAGCTTTGCCTGGCACCCCAGGATCCAGCCCCCACCCTCAAGTATGCGATGAGGCCATCCTTTCTTGCTTAGGACACTCCTTGGCATCTGTCCCACAGCGCAGACTGACCCCCTGTGCTCTACACGTGTTTTGCCAGCAAACACTCATTTCAGCCACACACGTCTCCGTCCTCCAAAAACTCACAGGCAGAGCCAGCCCCTAACAAGGGGCTGCTTTGATCAGCCGGCTATTGGTCGTGGGGCCCCTGCCTCCTCTGCGGGGCACCATCGGTCACCCTAAAGCTCTTGGGCCACCGCGGGACCGTGAGTTCAAAGATTTTAGAAAGCAGCTCATGTCCCAGGATCCTCAGGGCCTGGGCTCCCTGACGTCTCCCAGGGCCCCTGGTCCCTGGATCCACAGGCCCCTGCTGCTGCTGCTGCCGCCGCCAGTCCTGCCCTCGGCCCCCTTCGCTGCCCCCGGACCCCCCTGTCCTTCCGTGCCCGCGGCCCCGCTGGTGGCCAGGTCCAGACTGAGGGTCCTCCCGCACACCGAGAGCCGCCGCAGCACTTCGGAGGCCGCCTCCACCGGCACGCCCGAGCGCTGCTCCAGCAGCATTTCCAACAGCGAGCTCATCTCCGAGAGGAAGGTGCTGGCCAGCCGCGTGCCCGTCAGGCTCAGCTCAGGCCCGGGCGCCTTGCCGAACGTCTGGAAGGTCCTGGGCTCCTCTACGGCCGGAGCGTCTGGTGCGAACACGTTGTCGCGGTAGTTGGTGGTGAGGGGCAGAGAGAGCCTCGCCATCCAGGCCGGGTCGGGGGCGCTCAGCCGGTCCAGGGCCAGGCCTGCGCGGGGAGGAGGGGAGCCGGTGAGGGCCGGAGGGGGA